ATCCAGGTATGAAGGCATATCACTTTGGCCAGGCATTTATTAATTTCCCTATTTCTTAGGTTTCTTATATGGGAAGTGACAAGCTGGATGTATTCTAAATTCTGGAAGGGGGTCATAGTCCAGTAGCTCCTCCAATATCAGTCTTCCTTCCCTTTCTGTAGCAAATCTAAGGTCCTTTTTGGCTTTAAATTCCCACGATTTTGAAACCTAATGTGACACTGTAATTAATAATGGTGGCAGGATAGGATTAACAGCACACCACAGAGTTTGCTCCAAAGACACGATAGTGTAGGGTTAGGAGATACATGGGATTAGTTTTATTTGCTCAGCAGGACATCCAAAGCCTATAGGATAATGGGGTAGCTTTTATTTATTTTTATTTTATTATTATTCTTTTTAGAGAGAGCGTGAGTGGGGGTGGGGAAGGACAGAGGCAGAGGGAGAGGGAGAGAGAGAATCCTAAGCAGACTCCACATTCAGCACAGAGCCCGATGCAGGGCTTGATCTCACAACCCTGAGATAACGACCTGAGCTGAAATCAAGAATTAGACCCTTAACTGACTGAGCCACCGAGGCTCCCTGGATAATGGGGTATCTCTTAAAAGAGGATTAGCTATGTAGCAAATCTAATAGTGATTTTGCTGAGTTAGAACTACAGCTCCAAAGGTGTCTTCCTGTATAGTGGAGGATCAGAGCATGCGGATGGGGTTGGGGGGTAGTTGGGGTTTAGTCTTGAAGGGTAAATGTTGGAAGGGTTGGAGGGGGAAATGGTATTTTCAGAATGAGAGACACTGAAAAATGTGGAAGGGAGAGAACATGGCACAAGGATTTGTAATTAGTCCTAGGTGGCTGGGGAAGGGGGACCTCTGGGAGGAGTAGCCAAGGATGGAGCTTTCCGAGGTAGCTGGGAGTAAGATCATTGAGGAACTTCTGTGCCATAGTTTGGAGATCAGATTTTATTCTAAGGGGATGGGAAACCGTAGAGGGCTTTAACCAGGGGAGGTGTGGTCAAAATGGCAAAATCACTTCTTAGAAAGTTCCTTTTGATAGCAAAGCAGATATTGGATTGAAAACTGGAGGCAAGAAGCTGATTCTTTCTTTCTTTCCATCCACCTACCCACCCCATCCATCCTTCTATCTATTCACCCAGCAAAGAAGTATTACTGAATGCTGGTTCTGAGAACAAGCTCTATCATCAGATAGGCCTGAATTTCAAACCCAGTCTTGCCACTTACCCTATCTGTGTGATTCTGGGTGAGTTACTGAATCTGTCAGTAATTCACTTTTATCACCTGAAAAATAGGACAAATAATCATGTCCATTAATACTTCATAGATTGGCTGGGGAATGAAATAGGACAGTGCATCATAAATACTTGGCACCAGGCTAGGAACTCATAAACATTCAGAAACTTGTAGCTATTTTTGTTAACAGGTTGAAGGCACAGACTCGGGAGCTTTCATGATACTGGGGACTGCAAAAGCCATGAGGATTGTGAAAACTTTCACTAGAATGATACTCGATTCAGTGTACATCTACTGAGCACAGAACTACTTACAGAGCATCACACTGGGCCTTGTGGGAGGTGCACAGGTGGGTGCTGCTGAGAGTGCGCACCAGGCGGAATATGGTAAATGCTCTAGTCAGTTCAGTAGTGTGGAGACTTTGGAAAGCTTTTTGGAGAAGGTGGGGCTTGAGATGAGTCTTAAAGGCTGAAGAGGACTCCAGTAGGTAGATACGGGGCGGGGAAGGACTCTTCACACACAAGTAGTGGTAGGTATGGAAGTCTGGAGGCAGGAGGAGGAGAGTGGGTATTAAGAAAACCAGGGCTTATAAGATATATAGGACTATACATGAGAACGCTCAAAGATTGTATAAGGAGAGAGAAAGTATTGGAATACAGGTAAGCGTCAAAGTGATTTTCAGTCGAGAACTTCAAATTCCATTCTGAGGATTTGAGACTTTAATGTGAATGCTGGGGGTGGGGGGCTGGGCAGAAAGATGCTATCAGGCTTGTATTTAGGATGATTGAATGCCAGAGGTGTGAATGAGCACAGGAGAGGAAAGGGAGATGAAAGAGACTGCTTAAAGACTATTTTGGGAGAGTCTCAGGAAGGGGCCCTGGGAGGACGGGGAAGAAGGATGGGTTAAAGAGCTTTCAGCAAATAGAATTGATGGGATCCAGCGCCTCACTTACTGTGGGGTGAAATGGAAGGCGTGGATTTGCAGCCTGAGAGACCGGGAATGATAAATCCGTGGAGAAGGGGCAAAAGCGGGAGGAGGTTCAGGACGAAGGACAGCAAGCTGGGCTTTCAGTCTGAGTGGCTTGTGAGACATGGATTTGGAGCGAGTGTCCCCTCAGCAGCAGATTGCCGGGCTGAAGTGAGCAAGTGTGTTGAGGGCCCGAAGCAGGTAGGGGAGTGAGTCTTCTGCTATAAGGCACAGTCGAAGCCCTGTGAAGCAGGAGATGGTGTGTGCAGTGAAGGACTCAGCTTTGGGGAAGGACCACACTTCAGGCGGAGTTAGCAAGAGAGAAGCCAGTGTCTGAGGCCGGAAGATGAATAGAAGAAAGAGGTGTGTGGCATCCGGGAGGGGAGGAGAGATCTTCAGGAACAGCTCAGATGATCAGTAGGCTTAAAAGCACAGGGACTAAAGGGACAGATGACAGTATAAGTTTATCGACTAACGTTTTGACGGATGTATGGAAAGCCAAAATTGAGGTCTCCTTGGGTGGCATACATCTGGTCAGCTGATAGGGGGCCACTAGTTGGTGAGGGAATCTCAGGGACATTTTGATCATTGAGTGTGAGATTCATGTGGTTTGGGGCAGTTGGAGTGAGTTTCCTCAGGTTAGAATTTTGGGCTCACCCCTCACTGAATCCCTCCTCAACAGCCTGTTCTCAGTGGGGATGGAGAGTTTGGAGAAGGATAAAGGGATCTCCTTTCCATACCTGCACCTGGAATCACCATGTGTCAAGATGTCCCTTATTGATGGGAAAGACTGGAGCCGAGCTGTGGGTGTGTTGCGTCTGAGACGGGCACATGCTAGGCGTCATCCACACCCTGGTATATCTGTGGGCAAATGCGTTGAGGTTACGGGTAGAGTTCCTGGCTGTTCTTCTAGCAAAGCAATCCTAGAAGACCGTTTAATCCTTGGAGTACTTGGCCATGGGTTGAAATTGGCCCAAGAGAGAGGCAGCTACCTCAGAAGGGTGAGCTCCTGAGTCTGCCCTTCCAAAGTTTCCAGAGGCTTCCCCCGGAGGCCGTGTCCCACCATCTCCTTGCCACCATTCCAAGGCTCTCTCTGCTTTTCCAGCTGAAGAAAAGGTACATAATTTCCTCTCTCCAGGGTTTGCATAGTGAATGAGTTGGGGGGTAGGGGGGATGGTCAGAGGATAAAGATGGTGGGGATGGGGTGAGAACTTGAAGAGCTTCTTTTTCTAAATCACAGGTACTGTTAGTATTTTAAGTGAGATCTAAACCTGCAATCTGTTTTAGGGTGAAGCAAAACATCGGGTCTTACCTTACGTGTCTCCACACATCCTCTGGTCACATTCCTCTCCCTTTTCTCTGGCCTTTGTTTCACATTCCTTCAAAAGTTTGAACCCTCCCCCCACCCCATTCCCACACTTGCTTGTTTGGGCTCTGGGCTTCCTTCCTTCTCTGCTGAGGATCCCCAGGTGGAAGGTTCTGCTTGAAAGGTACATGGTTTTCATTGCAAATGGGTCCCATGGGACATCTGAGGTCATAGCTTGATCTTCATGCAATGACCATGTTCCCCACCCTGCACGGCACTCCCTTAGGGAAGGCTGGGATGAAGGGGCCCTCACAGCCTTGGATCTGGGCTGTTCCCGAAGCCTGACCCTGCTCTCTGACAGTCACTGAGTGGGTGAGAGGGACCCTGGGTTTCTCATCTCCCCCCCACCCCTGCCCTTGTGCTTTCTTTGGGTTTGCAGTCTCATCCTTGCTTTCCTTCCCATTTCTCCTCTTTCCCACTTAACCTTGTCCTTGTCCTTGTCTTCTCTTGCTCCTTCCTCTCAGAGCAAAGCAAACACTTGTTAGAACTTGGCTGCGTTCAGTTTTCCTCCCCTCTTCCTTCATCTTCTGTTCTTCTCTTCCATCAAGAGCTCAAGCTCAGTATCCAGCAGTAAATATTTATATAGCTTATAAGCCTTGGCGTCTGTGGGTTTGGTACCATGGGACGTATAAGATGCTCATTGGAAATGCAGTTGGGTTGTGGGGACTCTGGAAGGCGAGAACTTCTGCTGTGTTCATCTTCACCCTGGGCCGGGGACGCGGAGAACAGCACGGCTTACAAGGAAATACTCCGGAGTGCGTGAGTTGCAAGTCAGAAGACCCAGGTTTTGTTTCTAAGGCCTCTGCGATCAGAGGACACTTTAGCTCCTTTCTGCCATGCATAAGGCTTCATTTAAAAAATAGGGATTATGGCCCTTGTCATACTGCCTCCGTGGAGGAATGTTTTAAGAACCTAGTGAAATAATATGCATGTGACTGCTTTGAAAAGTAGGATTATTCTTGACCATTTTTATGGGCACATTTCTGCAAAACAAAATGTCGAAACTGCATCGGCCGTGTTTGTGTGAGAGGAGCTCGTAGTATTAGATGATCTCTGATACGTCTTTCGGCTCTTAAATTCTGTTTTCCCTAGACGGTTCTTGGCATGTAATAGGGGCTCTGGCAATATCTGGTTGGATGGACAGACAGACGGTCGGACGGCTGGATGAACATCTAAATGTCTAATTGCCCTACTTACCCCTTCTAGTCCCATTTCCATTTCCCATTGACACCACCGCCCCCTCCTGGCCAGCAGCAGTATTACGGTGCCGTGAGTTGGTAGCCGGGCCCGTTTCTCCCCAGCCCCTAACCGGGGCTCCCCGACCCGGCTCCTTGGGACCCGGCTTTGGCCTTCCATCCCTGACTGCTTGTCTTCCCTCCTCCTCCCTTCCCACCCCACTCCCTCTCTCCATCTGCCCCTGCAGCACTGCCAGTAACTCAAACCGCAGCACGCCGGCCTGCTCCCCCATCCTCCGGAAACGGTCTCGCTCGCCAACCCCGCAGAGCCCGGACGGAGACACCATGGTGGAGAAGGGCTCGGATCACTCCTCCGACAAGTCCCCGTCCACGCCGGAGCAGGGTGTGCAGCGCAGCTGCTCATCACAGTCTGGCCGGAGTGGCGGCAAAAATTCCAAGGTGAGCTGGACCCTGCCGGGGCCTCCACTTCCTCGTTAGCCGGCTTCAGGGAAGCCAGTGCTGGGGGGAGGGCGGGGTAGAGAGCCCCTTCCTCCAGGGCCCTTGTGTCAGTGCGGCAAGGGTGGGACAGGCAGGGGAGCCCCTAGTTAAGTGTTACCTTCTCGGCTGAGCCCTCAGAAGGCCCCCGGGGAACTCGTTGTGTGATTCCACAGTGACTGTTTTCTCTCTTTGGGCTTGGGAGCCTCCTAGACCTTGAGATTTGGAAAAAGGGTGCTCTGGGGACCAGGGGGGCTCATCTGTCTGGCCCTGCTTCCTTTTTCAAATTTGGGGTAGAAGGGGACATTATTTGGGACAAATACAGGGCCCAGGAGAGAGTCCTCAGGAAGAGAGGTGTTTTTAACCTCCACCCTGACTCTATCTCTCTGCCTTATCTTTGGTAATACCCCACTTGGTACTCATTTGGCCAGGAGGGCGGTGACTGGGCCTCTGGGTGGCTCCCAGGGTGCTGCCTGCTGCCTGAGGACCTGGGCCTTTGCCTGAGGAGGGGCATAACAGAAGCCCCAGGGGGGCCTGGGCTACGGATGGGTTCCCAGAGATCTTCTTCTCCCCTCCTCAGTCCTTTGGGAAGCAGGAGATATTCTTTGCCTAGATGCTCCTTCAAAAAGCTTCTCTTTACTGCTGACTCCTAGGCCCTGGGGAGGGGAAGGGGCCCCTGGGAGGCACGGGAGCTGGCTTCCCACCTGATTTGTCTTTTGATTTCTTGTTCTTCCTCTTCTTCCCCACCATTTCCCAAATACCTCCTTTGCATGCATGGTCTTAGTCTCACAAGCGCCTCTCAAAAGTAAGCCATCTTTTGTCTCTGTCTTTGGTCTCCCCTCCGATGTTGAATTGTCTGTAGTGCTCCGCACCCCTCCCTCCGCCCCCGCCCACTCTGGCCCATGTCTCGCTTGGTCCCTTTCCCAGAAGGGCCGGCCCCACAGCCCCCTGGCAGGCCGGCTTGAAGTCACTGAGGGACCGTTCCTATTGCACCCAAAGTCGGAGAACAGACCCATCCCCCGTCCTCCCCTGTCTCTGCCTGCTCCCCGAACACTGCCTTGGGCTGGGAATCTCTTCCCTCCTTACATGGAGCCATCTAGAAGCAGAGTCCTGCCAGGGCTTACTTTCGTTGCTTTGGGGAAGGGAGGCCCCATCCAGTGGGGCTTCAGGTCCTGATAGCTCCTTGTACCTGCTTTAATGGGTGAGTCCTGATTCCCCGGACAAGATGCCTGAGGGTCACAAATACCCGTAGGTGAGTTCCCTGGTGCGGTAGAGTGACCTCAGGAGCTCCGCCTGGCACCCTCCTTCCCTCTGCCTGCCCACTGACAACTGCTCAGCCTGAGCACCCCTTACCGCTTCCACCCACTTCCCAGCCCGGGGGCCCGTGGTGTTCTCCGGACCCTGAATTGTGATCAGAGCGGAACTCTTCTCCCAGAAGGGCACCGTGCTAGCATCTAGCGGTTGGTGGTCATGGATGGTGGCCCCTCTCGGGCCCCGCAGCAATGCGACCAGGTCAGGGAGGCAGTGGCAGAGTCCACCCCCCGCCCCCCGAGATTTCAGAGGTCCGAGCAGAACTTGGAGGGAGTACAGTGTGAGCAATAGGTATTTTAGAACAGCAGGGCTCAGGAAATAATCCCCACGGGGGAAAGGAGGTGGGATGTCGCCAGGAGAAGAAAAAGCAGAGGAATGCCTTAATAATAGTCTTGAGCCTCTGTAAGTGTTTTGGGGAGGAGGAGGAGGGCGAACAGCTGTTCTCTTTCCTGAGGGAAGAACAAGAGACTTCAGGGCTAATCCTGGAGTCTGTGACCTTCAGGCTAAAAGCTGCCTCTGAGGAATTGAAGCAGTGGCTGCTCGCTGTGGGGAGGGGAAGAGGAGCTCTACCGGGCATGAGCAAGGACTTCTCTGTGGGGCCAGCGCCCCATGCCAGCCCCTCGCCCCTCTGGCTGGGGAGAGCACACGTGTTGCCTGACACACTCATTGGGTCGCTCCATCTCTCTGGTTCTGCCCACGGACTTTGCACACTTTTCCATCCAAAGGTGAAGCTGCAGGCTTCTTACCCTCTTACCCCACGCCTAGCAAGGCACTCAGTGGGCACGCAGACCTTACTGATGGCCCTCAGTCCCCACCTACGGTGCTGCCTCCAGGTGCTGGGTGGAGGTGAGCACTCGCTAATGAGAATTTTTAAACATCTCCTGCTGAACTGCGGGTGTTCTTTGGGAAACGAGCGTGAAGGCCAGGCTCCTGCCCCCAGGCAGCGTCAAGTCTAGGAAGGGAGTGAAGGCGCATGCCTAGATTGTCCACAAACCGAACCTGACTGTTGGAAATGCATGTGTAGCGGGGGCTGTTACAGGTCGGAGGCCGGGGAACTCCTTTCTGAGTGGGGTGGCAGGGGCGTGTGTCCGGGAGCTGGTCCACGGAGCCAGGCTGGGGCCCTGAGAGGCAAAATAAGGCATAAAGAAGGGACCATGAGCTGAGCGTGAATTCAGAGTTAGCCGTAGTCCCTCTTTCACAAGGAGTTGATGGGGGAGGGAAGAGAGGAGGGGGGAGGGGCTGGGTTTTATTTTCCCTTTGAAGAGCTCAGGGGAGGCAGACACAGAGTCCGGGACTCCCCTGGTTTGGAGAGCTGCAGGGAGGAGGCGGGGATACCCCTTCCCTGGTGGACTCTGGTCTCAGGTTGACGAAACACATCCACGGTGAGGGATCTGGTAGCCAGAGTTGTGGTCTCTTCCCAGCCACGCCACCTCCCTCCCTGCCTCCCGTCCACCTCACAGGGGAGGACACCTGTGTTTTCCAGGCAAGCTGGAGAGGGCTTCCCCTTCTCCCTGGAGCCAGGCGTCCTGCAGCGTCTGCCTTCCCTCCCCAGGGCCTCCATTTCCTCGTGTTAATTTGCAGGGCTCAGGCTAGGGGATCCTAGCCCCACACCTGTGAATCTGTAACTAGACCGCTGAAGCTGACCCTTCCTGGGTGCAGCCCTGCCCAGAGCAGAGAGCTGGAAGACGTCGAGGCTTCTTTCCTCTTCCCTAGACCCCTTGAGTTTGTGCCATCACCCAGCTTCTGCTCTGTAGTGCTGCTAGAGGCCACTAGGGGGAGCCAGTGGCCGCTGCCTGCTCCCAGGAGCTCCTGCTCAAGGGCCACCCCTGCGGGGGTTCCCCTTCGCCCCCGTAGCCCAGTTGAATCCTGGGCTGGGTGGGCTATGTCATCCCGGCTCACTGGCTTTGCTGCTCCTTTCCCCTTGACCTTTTCCTTGTCTTTCAATCTTAATTTTTATGGTTTTCTTTCCAGTATGACAGACTTAACCTGATCAAAGTAAGAAGTCTCTCTTATTTCCTACTTCCTCTAAGTAGAGCTCCTCTCTCCCCCTCCTCTGGACCCCCAGCCCCCATCCTCCCAACTCCAGGAGCCTTTGCACTGGGAAGATGTTTTTAGGGAAGGTGGGTCTGTCTCCAGGGGCCTTGTGTTCCTTTAGTGCTTGTTCTTGAGACCCCTTCTAGGGGGTAATAGAAATGTGCTCCACTCAGCTCCCTGTCCTCAGCAGCTCTGTCTCTGAGTCCTTTTCCTGACTCCCTCCTCCCCTTTTTAGCCAAATCCATTCGTAACCTTTTGGAAAAGGCTTCACCCCCACCGCCTAGTTCTGTTTTCCCCATGCTTCTGGCTCTCTCTGCAAAGGAGGGGCATTTCGGGGAACCTGCAAGGGCAGACAGCCTAACTCGTGCCTCTGCTCTCCCTGCACCGAGGTCTGTAAGCCCCACCTGGTTTCCCTGCCTCCATGAGCTGGGGACTCAGCCCTGGGAGAGTGAAACTACGAGGGTGAAATTTGCCTCCAGGAGGCTGGTCAGAGTTCAGAGACCCATACCCACAGTGGGTATTCTCAGGAGCTACTGTGGATCAGGATGGGGGAACATTTTCCCCAGGGGTACCCCCAGTGGTGGCAGATAAGAAGCTGCCTAGAGATGGCTGCTTGGGGTAGAGTCTCAGGCTGAGGGAGAAGACAGAAGTCCTCGCTCTTGATGGTACATTTCACATTTCAGTACTTGGGAACACAAATTCTTATCCCCTCCCTTTACAAAAGAGCAAATATCACACACAGACGTGTCACACAGAGATGGGACACAGGTTCCGTGGCCAAGGCTCTTTGTTACTCTGAAGCCCTTTGTTCTGAACAGATTCAGAAGGGACACATATCTGTGTGGCAGTACAGGAAGAAAGAAAATCTACCTCTTCTGTGTACCTTAGGCAGGAGCGAGAATACTGCATAGGAGTAATCATAAAGGATCTTGGGTCCCCATACCCAACCCGGGTTCGTTCCTGTTGCCCCCTTCCCTCCTAGGGTCTTCCGTGAAGGCCAGGACAGTGGGGTAAGGAGCTGGGGGCGGGGGGGTGGACAGGTGACAGCGTTTTCTCAGCTATGAAGCAGGTGTCCGAGGGCCTGGCTTTGGGTTGATAAAATGCTGGGAGCTGGGCAGCTGTCGAGGCTGACAGCGCCTAGGGGGTTCCTCCGCACTGCTGAGAGATGGGGTTCAGGGAATGTCTGCACAGCCTCACGCCCTGTGACCTCAGAGGCAGGCCCCAGGAGCGAAGACCTCCCGAGATGCAGATCAGGTCAGACGCAGCCTCTGCCCCATCCGCTCTCCCCTGGGTCCGGGAGGCCTTTGCCAAATGTTTGCAGGCTAATTTTCGGATCCAGGTGCAGGATTCCCATGTGACAGTAGCTCCTCAACAGTGAAATAGTTGGTTTTAAGTATTCAGATGTGGCCCCTTTACCTGCTGAGACCTCTGGATCAGAGGAGAAGGTCAGGTCGTGATTCGAGTATGTGGCTTGCAGATGGGCCATAGTGACAGCCTTTGTTGGGACATGACTGTGAGAGCATCTAGAGAGTTCTTCTGATGGAGTGGGAGAGCGGGCGAAGGGGGAGATTGTCGCCCGCCCTCCACCCCCGCCAGACACGCTCCCAGTGGACATTCTGAGACTGTGACCTTTCTTTCCCTTATGAGTCAGGGCTTCTTAGACGAGGCGGGGGGATAAAGGTTGCCAGTTGGCCCAGAATCCACACCTCGTGTATAGTTGTTGACATGCAGGCAGTTTCCCCTATGCAGTGATCCTTTGCTGCAGTTATACCTTTGGCAAGCTTCTTAAAATCGAAAATACCCCATCTCCAATCTAAAACTGTTGGATCAGCACCTCAAGGGAGGGGGCCCAGACAACTGTGTGTGTGTGTGTGCGCACACGCGCACGCATGCATGTTCCTGTCTGCCTGTCTGTCTTTCAAGTGGGGTGTGCATAAAGGACTCCTGGCCATAGAGATTGGAGGTAGACAAAGCACAATTTCGGCCATCCCTCTCAGTTGCCATGGAAACGAGTCACCTTTGCCCAGGGCCAGGAATGGAGAGCACCTGAATTCTGGAGCTGGCACAAAGTCTTGATTTTGTTGGTAACAGAATTACAGCACTGCGAAGCTGGGAGGCAGGCACCATTAGCAATGATGTGTTTCAACCTTCCTCCCAGGGCAGAACCCCCAGTACTCCCCTACCTTTATCACCTCAGTCATCAGCCAGTGGTTGAGCAGGAGGGGAAACGGACTCCTCTGCTCCCCGAGAACATAGTTGGAGGAGGTGTCCAGGCAGCTCCTTTTCTTCCTTTACCCCAAGGGTCCCCTCTTGCCTTCTGCAGAGGGGCTGACTTGGGGCAGAAGGCTGGGTTGGTCTCTATCTGCACTTTGCTTCTGGTCAGGGCCCATCTGGGGACTGGGTCTTGGATGCCTGCAGCGCATCCTTTCCCCCCATCAGAACCTCGTGATGGGGCTCTGACTCCCTTCCAGCTGAGCTCTTGGCTGGTGCTGCCGCTCCCTGCCGTCCCGACCTTGGTGAGGCTTCCAGCATGGACCTGCCCTGGGCCTCCTTTCTGGAGCTGTCTTGAGAAAGGAGGACCCCTCTTGAGCAGCCACATGGGAAGCATTCAGCTGCATTGGGTTTCCTCCTCCCTGCCCGTCCTCTGCTGTCTGTGTAACCTTCCCTCAGGAGCCGGGCATACCCCGGCCATTCCCACCATCTCTTCCCTGACTAATGGTACCTTCTCTTATTTTGTCCTTTCAGAAAAGCCAGAGTTGGTATAATGTAAGTATCCCTGTTTCTCTTCTTGTTGGGTACACGGGAAGCGGGTGGGGGATGGGAATGGTCGGGAAATGGAGAGGCACCGAGTGCAGTTCGGCTGCCCCATGGGCTTGAGCCAGTTGAGGGGCCCCTGGCCAGCCCCCACCCTCAAACTCACTGGTTATCCTCTGCAGCAGGACAGGACTGCTGGTGAAGGAGGAGTTGATTCAGGGAGACCAAGGAGGGCCAGCCCTCCTTATCCTCCCCTAGACTCCTGGACAGGGCTCCTCCAGCCCCAGTGAAGGGGACTGGCTGGGGGAGGCATCCAAAGACCAGATGGAATTCTGGGACTGGGTCAGCCCCGGGGCCTGAACTTAGGACCAAAGTTTCCTTCCTTTAGCTGACACATTTTGGGGGCAATGCAGCCAGAAGACTTTTCCCCGTTAGTAGAGAGGCCGTCCCATGTAATGGAATTTGACTTCTGCCCCAAGACCCACCTGCACTGCCCTAAGGGACGTGTGCCTTCTAGAAGACATCCACTACTCTTGGGTCTGTGGTGAAGGTGTAGCCTGGGGTCGTCCGTGGTGGTGGCTCAGCCAGCCGCTTCATAGCCAGAAATTGTGTTGTGGACTAAGCAGTCCCGTCCAAGACCACAACCCCCATCACACAGACTGGGCTGCAGCGTTTTGAACTTTTCCTCTGGAGGGCAGCTGACCGAAGTCTCAGCCAGCCCCCACCACATTGTACTCTGCCCTCTGGGACTGCACCGCGGAGGGCCTGGCCTCAGGTCCCCATCGCTCTGCCCCGAGCCTGCATTTCCCCACACTTGCGTCTGCTTGATCATGCAGGTACCACCCCTCTGCCTCCCCTGGCACCGGGCTGTACTCCAGCAGGTTTCGTGGGCATGCGGAAAGTGGGGGAGAAGGTGGCTGTGAGTGACAGAGGCTGTGGACACTGGGGTGGGGCGGGGAGGCTTGCATTTAATGTAGGGACTTGGGTCCGAATCGTGTGTTCGTGCGGGGTGAGGTAGAGGGATATCTTCTTTCGCACGCGGCTCAGGGATGCCCCAAAGCCAAGCACATGCCAGTCAGCCCCGGGGCTTCTGACCTCTTGCTGCTCAGCGGGCCTGCCTCTCCCTGGGGAGCTCTGCCCACCTAGCCTGGTACACACGAGGGGGAGGTTGGAGGGCCACGCTGACGGAGACGAACTGTGGGCTGAGGTGGCCTGGGTCGGGGAGAAGCCAGATGACACCCCCTCATTCCCCAGCCCTTCCCCTTGGACCCACCGTGGTCTTCAGCCCCCGCGCTGCTTAGAGCTCACATCCTGGAGGCGACAGAAGCTGCTTCTGTGAGGGAGGAGAGTGGGGGCCGCTTTCCTGGGAGCCATGTGGGGCCTCCAGCATCCCTCGCCTGACAAAACCTCCACCGCTCTCAGCGGTATTACAAAATGAGTGCCCCCAGAGGGAACAGGAAACAGGTGGCTGCAGACATGTCAGACCATTGTAACATCCAAATTTGGACATCCAAATCCCACCCCCCGCCCAGCCTCTCTTCTCTTGCTCGCTCTCTTTCTTTCAATCAGGCTCTTCTGTTCCAGCTCAGTTCCCCTTATTTGACTCCTTCCCTACCCTTTCGTCTCTGGTTCCTCCTCCTCTCCTTTCTCTGATTTCCATTCTCTGGCTGGCTCTCCCTCTCTGCCACCAGCCAGCAGGTTCTCCTTCCCCTCCCTGGCTTCCCCATTCCGTCACCTCAGGGCCTCTCTCCGCCCCACACATCACAGAGTGAGGGATAGCAATGGATGCCAGCCAACTCAGGGGTCCCGGCGACAGATAAGATGGCAGAGGAGCTGGGAGTGACCGGAGCCCCACTTCCTGCCCGATGCCCTGCAGCTGGAGACCTGGAGACCCTCCCTGACTGCACATCGCCTTATATAATGGGCCTCCACGTAGTCAGCTCCCAGGCCTTCCTGGGACTCACAGATGGTCAGTGTCTCCTCCAGCCTCCTACCCCCGCAGCCCGAATGAATTGCAGAAATGTGACGGACTCTCCACTCGGCACAAATCATTAACTCACAGAGGCCTAGTGCGCAAGGGACTCTGCTGAGCAGTGTTTCGCGCCCCCCCTGACTGCCCCCCTCCCGGGACGCATGCTCTCACTCTGGAGCCAGACACCAGGGGGCCCATCCAGAAATGTCTTCTTGTGGCTCCCTTTTCCTCGGCTTTGTTTCCGCGTTGCCAGGCAGATGTGGCTCCTTGTCTGCCTTCCATCTGCCCGGGTCCTGCTCCGCTTCCTCTATGGAGGCCTGACGCAGGCAGGGACAAGTTGCAGAATGGAGTGATGTGGAGGAGGGACAGGGAAAAGGTAGGGAGACCTGGGAGGCCAGAGGTGACAGGGGACCTCCAGCCGGCCTGAGCTGTAGGTCTCAGGGGCTGGGTCTAGTTTCTCTTTGCACTTTGTCTTCATGTGTTTTCACATCGGGAGGGAAATCAGCAGCTGGTGTAGCGGGTAGAGCCCTAGAAAGGCTGGCTTCAGGTAACCCCTGCCTCGTCCTCCCGTGAAAACCCTGCTCTCCTCCTGAGGCCGAGATGAAGCCCTGGCTCTGGGCTTGCCAGCTTCTGGTTGTCTGGAGGAAGCAAGGGGCTGCCGTTCCACACAACAGGCGTCACCCCCATCTCTGCCCACTCGGATGGTCCCCGCGGGCTTATCCGTGGCGTGGGCCTGAGCGTGGCCCTTCCCCTAGGCACCGTTGACCTGCCCCAGTCAGGAAGCTACCACCTGGGTGTTTCCCCAGAGCCACATGAATCGATGCCCATGGGCGTGGGGTGCCCCCATGCGCCCAGCGCTGTACCCCTCAGTGGCTGGACACCGCCCTGCTGTGCATCATATATGTGTCTGTGCTCTTGCGTGCAGAGGCCCCATCGGGAAACTTCCGTCCAAACCCCCCACCTGGCTCCCCAGCATTGCCCGCCAATAATACATCCATGGTTTTCCAGAAGGACGTACCTTTCCTCTGTGTTGCCCTGTCTCCCCTCCTCAGTGCTGCTGATGGCCCTCTTTGACACTCGGGGTAGTCCTCCAGCTGGGCTGGAACATCCTTATGTGGATGGGCAAAGGCTTTGTCATCCCAGCTCTAGGGACCGTCACACAGGCCCTGGTCAGGTTCCAGCCCGGGCGTCCTCACGGAGCTGCTGACTACTGAGAGAACATCTCAGGTTGTTGGAGTAGCTTGGGTCTGATGGGAGGGAAGCCCACCCAGCCCCTCCCCGCCCGCTCCCCAGGCCCCTCCTTTACCTGCCTCTCTTCCACATTTTACTTTTGGGTTTTTTTTTTTTTTTTGGTCTGATATTTGTATTTATTTTTCTTGCCAGAATAACACAAAACATAGTGATAATGAACAGACTTCTGTAATTTCCTGGGGCAAGATTCCACTAGTCTACTTTTAAATATGGTGTTTGTGATATATATTCATTTACTTATTTTTAAATTTTTTATTTAAATTCCATTTATTTAACATACAGTGTATTATTAGTTTCAGAGGTAGAGTTCATTGATTCATCAGTTGCATATCACACCCAGTGCTCATTCCATCACGTGCCCTCCTTAATGTCCATCACCCAGTTACCCCATCCCCCTACCGACCTCCCCTCCAGCAACCCTGTTTGTTTCCTAGAGTTAAGAGTCTCTTATGGTTTGCCTCCCTCTCTGATTTTGTCTTATTTTAGTTTTCCTTCCCTTCCCCTATGTTCTTCTGCTTTTTTCTTAAAGTCCACATATGAGTGAAATCATACGGCATTTGTCTTTCTCTGATTGACTTATTTCACTTAGCATAATACCCTCTAGTTCCATCCACTTCGTTGCAAAGCATTGCATATAGCTACCACATCTTCTTTATCCGTTCATCTGTCGATGGACATTTGGGCTCTTTCTGTAGTTTGGCTATTGTGGACGTTGCTGCTATAAACATTGGGGTGCAGGTGCCCCTTCAAATCACTATGTTTGTATCCTTTGGATAAATACCCAGTGGTGCAGTTTCTGGGTCATAGTGTAGCTCTATTTTTAACTTTTTGAGGAACCTCCATACTGTTTTCCAGAGTGGCTGCACCAGTTTGCGTTCCCACCAACAGTGCAAGAGGGTTCCGCTTTCTCCGAATCCTCGCCAACATCTGTCATTTCCTGACTTGTTAATTTTAGCTGTTCTGACGGGTGTGAGGTGGTATCTCATTGTTCCACTTTTTACTTTCACCTATCCAACCAGGGAGGAGATGTCATCATGATGGCAGACCACTTTGGCCTGAAAAGTGCAGCCCGTGGAGGGAAGTGGCTAGACTCCAGGGACACCTGGAGGGGCTGAGGCATGAGAGCTTCTGGTCTCTAGCCAGGGATGTGATATGCAGGTCAAGAGTGGGGTTTGAAGGCAGTGCAGTCTACAAATGCCTTAAGGCCTTCCCAGGCCCAATCTACGCCCCCTTACCCTTGCTCCCCCTCCCCCAACTTACTTGATGATCCCAGCTTTATTCATCAAGGCCCCCAGCTTGGGAGGCGCAGCCCTAGTAGACATGAAATGGTGGAATAAGCAGAAACAGGGCTATAGTTACAGTAGGGAGCCAAGGGCAAAATTGGGGGTGGGAGGGGTATATTCTGTCCCCCAAAGATGGCCCCTGTTGGGTGCAGTAAGTTTGCATCTGGGATGAAGCAGTCACCGGTCTTCTGCTTGGTGCCTCACCTTATGTGGGCACAGGTAACTGTCCTCATCTGCTTCACCCCTTCCTGGGGGGTCAGTCGTCCCGGCGACCCAGAGAAGCAGCTTGTCTGAGGTCAGAGGTTAGGAGCCTAGGCCCTGGTGGCTGGGAGAGACTTAGCGCCCAAGCTCCTCCTTGATGCCCCGGGATGGGGATGCTGGCTTTTTTTGATGGGGAGGAAGGGATCGTGCCAATCCTGTGGGATGACCAAGCAGGTCTGGCAGGCATGAGATGGAGAGCAAGAGAACAAAGCTTTGTGGGCATGAGACTGGGACATTAGGGGGACGATATAGAAAGTGGAGGTTCGGAGACAAGACTTGCTGCCTACAGCCTTGGCAGCCTGTTCTTTCCAGGGAGGCTGCCTGTGCTTCTGATAGCTCTGCCCATCTCCCCGCTCTCACTTACCCGTTGTCCTGGAAGAGTCTTCCTGACTTCAGCTCCCCCGGCCCCCCATCCTTCACCTTCTCCAGAATGTTCCCCACACTCCTGATGAGATCCCCTCTCAATCCCACTCTCCTCTTTGCCTTTCTGCATGACACTATCCCACCTGCATCTCTCTCCTTACTTCGCTCATTGCCCTCCCCCTCTTCCCCGTTTCCTACACCTGGCTGCTCCCTACCTGGATGTGGTTGGAGGGCCAGGATTTGCTTGGAGGGTCTTAATTGATTTCTTCCCAGGTGAAGCCAGTACTCCGCCAAATTCCATCTGGTTTTCTCCTGGGTTCCTCCACCCCACCCCTCCCCGTGCTGTACCCAGGGAGGGGGTACCACTTGGTCCCAGCTCTCAGTGTTTGCCATCGAGTTAATGTTTAGCTCAGGGTCAGTTCCCTCTCCTCAGGCCCGAAGCTGCCTGTCACTCTGCCCTGCCCAGCCCAGCCCAGCCCATTCCATCGTGGGAGGTGTAGGAGACAAAGGCTGAGCACCGAGACTTGTCTCCCTGGGGTTATCTCTCCAGGTGTATCCTGGCCCCCACCTCACCCGACTGTAGCCGTCATCTCCTTGTTTGGCCGTAGCAATATGTAAATGTTCCCGGGGAATTACTATAAGCATTCAGCTTTCGTGGGTCTGTATACTGCCTAGATCTTGGGGTCTGGTATGGCCTAGGAGAGAGGCATTCTGGTCACCCTGGAAAATGGAACTGCCAGGTTCCCCTACCACACTGCAAAGGATAGGGCTGCGCTCTGCAGAGCAGAG